ATTGCATGCTAAAACCATCACGATACGACATTGGACTTTTATTCACGCTAGACTACATCGAGGCCGAACTGAATGCAGGTAAAAATAAACAGTTGCAGGTTGATGGCCTGTAAATGTGCTTATAGTGAGTGAGATTCCATCATGTAGTGGGACTGAGATTGATCAGGATATTTATGTCAGTATTCATTATACTTTCCTATGGTTCTGTAATGCTAACATAAAGAAAGGATGTATAAATAAAAATAAATTTTATAACCGACAATAGATAGATATGTTAAAGACTTTTCTATAATAATTGAATCACATGAGTAATAAATGTTCATTGCCATTTTCATCTAAATAGAGATATTGTCTAGGACTATTTTATCGTTAAGAGTTCATAATGCCTAATGATCCTAGGCATTGAAATAGTCGCTAATCTTCAAGTTACAATGATGAACAACACAGATTGGAGTGGCATGATCAGATAGGCTGAGTCAGACTTATAACTCACACTTTGGTACAAAAGTAAAAAAATACCAGAAGACGAGCTGAGGAATTAACACTGCAAGTATATTATGATTTGACAATTTGCTATATTTGTTTGATCTCTCACGGATCTCTCATCTGCATTGTTCTCAGAACTATTTGGAAAATATTAGCCTCTTGTAATCTCTACACTCTTCTCGCTTGATTCACTTAGCTGAGCTTCCATACACGAATATGATCCAGTCTACATATTTCGCGAGGAGAAATACTAGTCAAATACACATCTGTGTCTAGGAAAGGAAGTTAATCCTGAAGCAGACTTGGGATGGCTTGCGGAGAGGAAAACCACTTCTTATGCGGTACATTTGATGGGCAGCTGGGCGTCGTATTTCCAGGCTGAATAGGAGGTCCAGAAAGTTACTTCTATGCGTGAATGGCGGAACGCTGGGAGTCTATAGAAGGAGAGCTCTGAGGTTCGGATTGGGGTCATAATCCAGACTTAATCATACTGATGGTATTCAGTGGCTGTGCTACTACAGTGTGAATTGATACTGTTCTGTCTCAGGTGTTAGTTGCATTCTCTATTTAGCTTGCCAAACATTCATAAGACGTGCTGCATTGTATCGTAGTTCCTTGGCACTGCTTCTCGGTCCTTGTGCTATCGCTGGAGACAATGTTGAGGAGAAGATGTGTAGGTGCTGGGACAGTGCACGTGCGAGGACGACAATTCGAGCATTTCGCTTTTTGTGTATTGGTGAGCAGAGCAATTGGATGGCGGGCGATACCTAGCGACTACACCTAGGTCTGGTTGACATGCTGTGTGTGGACAGCGTTTCATACCAGTCTGATCGTCTAATGCGCAACTTCATCGGAGAGCTACCAGTGGTAGAAAGAGAGACAAAGAGCAAGGAGACACGAGATGGTAGAGCAGCGTGATTCACTAGGACTTAGATAATACAATGGCACGTAACGGTTCAGCGATAAATTGGCTTATTCAGGCTCCCTTCTTTAATCCAGAGACAGTAACCAGCTGGCTTCTCTATCGCACGTTGATTATTATTATTATTACGAACCGGGAAGACATCACAAATGCTTACTGAATCCCTGAAACAGCTGCATGTACTTACTCTACGTACTGCCTTTTTCTGTAGGCTGGAGTCTAGTTCTCGAGAGTAAGCTATTTTCAGGGTTCACGAAATACGTAGAGTTTGGATTTATATCGTTTGATGCTCCTCTTTCCTTATCTTTTGTAAAAGAAACAAAGCAAAACCAATGTGGAGGAAAGCAACACTCAGAATTAAACCACATTATTAGAGATGCCTGCTTTAGATAAGGGCTAACTTCTACCACTTTAAGCTGGTTTTTTTAATATTATAATTAAATCTGGTCTAGATACAGGTCGCATAACAGTTGATTTTTTAAATTAGTTTAGCATTTGAATTCATTAGAGCACAGCCCTCGCTCCACTAACAATCAGTCTAGCATAGGCATCACATTTTAATCATCCGCGATAATTAAGTGACTCGATATCTGCTTCTGGCGTCATAGATATAGACATTCATTACCATCACATTAACTGTCTGGAATCCACCAACATACGATAAATTTCTGAATGTATGTTATAGGACTCATTAGTAGAGAGCATGAATTTCTAACTTCACAGACTATTATCAGATTGTTCCTTTGGTGGTATAAGCAGGACTAAGTCAATAAAAAATAATATATAAACCTGACAGAGATACTAGAGTCTATCCTATAAGACTACCATCTCTTTGCTATTCGCATGTGAAGAATTTCTTCTTATGAGGATAAATCTGATCAGTAACATTCTTTCTTATGCAGAAGTTCAGTGATAAGTGTAAGGTAATCTGGATAGATACTATCAAAGTAAAACTGTTATGACTTGTCTCTTTACGGCAGTACGACGATGTAGAGCTTCTCATATGATTCACACAATTATCTTCTTCTTGACCAATCTGCTTAACTACTAACCTACACATCTAAAGAAGATACGGTAAGTCTTTGACGTTCCAGCAATAACAGGAGACCATCTACAATGTGGAGATTTTAAATGTTCAAAATTTGCTCGGCCCCCTTCAGCAGTAACCCGTGCTTCTCTCCGATGACGACAATTATAGGTGGCTGCTAAGGGCACTAGGGGCTTGCTTTCAAGCAGAAATTATCATATGAAAATATAACCGAGATTGATAATGCCAGAACTGAGACATTCATTTTATTCTCGCGCCAGGTTGAAAAGACAAGCTCGCTGTGTCCATCTCAACTCTGCTGAAGACGCGGAAGGGTGTGATCCGTGCGTCCGTCTATGTAAATTCACGCCAGTAATTCTCAGGTCGTGGGTCCAACGTATGACTCCTATCCTGTTTATTACTTTGGCAAGATTACAAAGAAGAGAAAACAGGAGGAACAGTTGCTGGTTGTTCCTTTTTAACGTCTAACAATCTGTAAGCTTTCTGGTGGCTTCGCTGCTTCAATCTAAATTATCAACACTCCATTGACTCAATGTTTTTTATAAAAAAAAAAAAAAAGCCATCTCATTAGCAGCTGATTACATGGAAACTGGATCAGCATTTGATGGGATTTTCAATTAAAATTCAATCGTGAGGCCGGGCGCGGTGCTCCACCCTGTAAACCCAGCACTCTGGAGCGCCCGAGGCGGGAGGAATCGCTGCAAGGTGAGGCGTTCGACAGAGGCTGAGGCAGAGCGAGCGACCATCTCCTAGCAAAAAAATACGAAAGAATTAGCTTGGCAATAAAATATAAGAAAACAATTAGCGCGGGCGTGGTGGCGCGTGCTGTAAGTCCAGCTACCTCAGGAGGAGGCTTGAGGCAGGAGGATCGCTTGAGCCCTGGACTCTCGAGGTTGCTGTGAGGCGAGGCTCGGACGCAGGCACTCACTCTAGGCCTGTGGCAACACCGTGAGCACCTGGCTAGAAAAAACAAAAAAATTACATCATGGTTATTCATATATCTGTTCCTTGTTTTAACTAGCAACAATCCAAAATCTGCCCAAATATCTCAGTGTTTCAAAGAGGTGGAGCAGCCTCTACGTATTTAGCATCTTATTATCTCTGTCTTTAAGGGGCGAAGGAAGCCTTCAGCAACATGATTCTCGGCCATATTTTTCTACTTTGCGCTTGTGAAATATTTTCAGCATATAAGGTGAAAGCTTTTCAACAAGCCATCGAGTTAAACACACATTTTTAACCGCGCGCTTCAGCCAACGGCTTTTAAAAAAGTCTGAGATAGCAGCCTGGTCACTCGAAAAAAAAAAAGAAAAGAAAATATCTTTGCTTTATTTATTTTTTTCTAAGTGCCCGCATAGAATACTCTTACCTGGCCTTGGCTGAATTGGACTATAATCACCTTTAATGATGGACAGTGCATTAACGATACTCAACTTTGCCTTCCTCCAGACTAGTATAAGAAGCACTGGCCGGCCGCGCGGTGGCTCAGCCTCGTCATGCCCCCGCGGCACTCCTTGGGAGGCGAGGAGGGAGGATCCTGAGGTCACGAGTTTCGAGACCAGCCTGAGCAAGAAGAGCGAGCCTGTCCTACTATAAATACGAAAGAATCGATTGGCACCTTATTACATTATAAGAAAAATGAGCCTGCTTCAGTTTCGCAGCTACTCGGAAGAAGGCTGAGGCAGCGCAGGATCGCTTGAGCCCCAGGAGTTGGAGGTTGCTGTTGAGCTGGCTGACGCACGGCAATCACTCTAGCCTGGCAACAACGAGACCTGTCTCAAAAAAGAAAAAAAGAAGCGTGTTAGTAATATTTCGAGGTGATTTCTACGATTACTGTGCATTCTGCCAAACGCCTAAGATGCGACCATGCTTCTAGGGGTGGTTGGAGCCAGGACAACTTCCAGAATTCGCCCGTCTCCTTTAGATCTGCATGACTTTAGCTGCGAAGGGCAAGACCCTTTTTTTTTTTTTGTCAAACCTTAGTCCGTCTCCAAGGAGAAGAATACAGTCTGGGACGGAGCAAAGCTTGCAGAGAACTCACGCCTTTTCAATGAAAACAAAAATGGTTTTGGTTGGGGAAGAGAAAAGGGAGAGAGCCTCTTGACATCTGAGAAACAGCAAAGAACGAAAGCTGGAGACGTTGACTCCACGGCCCGCTCCGTTGCCGTTCTCCTCGGTGATCTGTATACGACACGTCTTCTCTGAAGTTTTTCAGAAGATAATCCTCGATTCCTCTGGCAGAGAAAATAACCAGCGTTGACTTCTTGCGTCCCTCACTATCCTTTCGCAGCCTGCAGGCCAGTCACCATGTTGCTCCCCGTCCAACAGCTCCTTGTCCCAGCCGGAGAGCTCGTCTGGGGCATCTTCTCGGGTGGCGTACTTGTGCACAGTACGCTCGTGATCGATGGGTCCGCTGAGCTAAAACAGGAGGGATTAAAACCAAAGGTAAGAATAACGTTGACAGGCCGGGCGCGGGTGGCCACGACTGTCCACGCGCCTCTATGGGACAGACCGGGGCAGGAGGATGCCGCTCGAGGCTCAGGAGTTCGAGACCAGCCTGAGCAACGAGCGACGACCCCGTCTCACGAAAGGAAGACGAAAGAAAGGAGAAGAAGAACGAAAGAAAGAAAGAGAAAGAAGAAGAAGAAAGAAAGAAAAGAAGAAAGAAAGAATTGGCAACATAAAACATAAGAAACAAATTAGCTGGGTATCGGTGACTCATGCTGTAGTCACTCCTCGGGAGCTGAAGGTGGGAGGATGCGCTTGAGGTCAGGCAGTTTGAGACAGCCCAGAGCAAGAGCGACGAGGCCCGTCTCTACTATAAAAGAATAACATTGAATGTGCCATAAAATATATACTACCGAAACATTACCAGGCTGGTGCGCCTGCTGTAGTCGCCAGCTACTTGAGAGGAGGTTGAGAGAGGATCGCTTGAGCGCAGGAGTCTGGGTCTGGGCTGTGAGTGAGGCTGACGCCAGGCAGCTCAACTCTAGCCCGGGCAACCGCAGACGATCCTTAGCACTTGCAGGTATACAATAACAATTTTTAAATGGGAACGCGGCGCAGAGCTCACGGTCTGTCATCCCCTAAGCAGCTCTGGGAGGCCGAGGTCGGGAGGTCGCTCAAGGTCAGGGAATTCGAACACAGCCTGAGCAGAGTGAGACCGCCGCTTCTCTACAATTACAACAAAAAAAAGGAAGAAAGGAAAGAAAGAAATTAATTGGGCAACTAAAAATATATAGAAAAACAAATTAGCCAGGTATGGTGGCGCATGCCTGTAGTCGCAGCTACTTGGGAGGCTGAGGCAGGAGGATCGCTGTAGCCAGGAGTTGGAAGGTTGCCGTTGAGCGAGTGACGCCACGGCACTCCACTCATAGCCTGGGCAAAAAGTGGAGACTCTGTCTAAATAAATAAATAAATAAAATAGCTAGAATTGATGCAGAATCTGATCCCATTTTTTAAAAAAAATAATGATCTTACCATAGTACGCTTAAATCATTTCTTCTGAAAATTTTTACTTTATAATTATCTTTAGAAATGTGTACTGTAGTGATTTCATTGGACATGCATGCCATAAAAATGTCATCAGAACTGAACACGGAAGACACATTTGTTGTATCAAGAATTCTGTCGTCACAGAATTTTTTAAAACTTAACCTAAATTTTAAAGGCACTTACAGAACAGTCAGGAAAGATTGTCAAGCAAGCAAGGAGTATTTTTACATTAGGATGAAATTCTATATTTTTACATTAAATTCTATGTTTTACATTAGGATGAAATTCTGTAAGGGAAATGGAATGGAAATGTACAGAGAGAAAAGAAAAATGACGTAATATTTCCGTCTGTATTTTTTAAACAGCTGGTGGGTATCAACTCCGCCAGTGGCCATTAGTTAGTATACGCGGATATATCTAAGGCATGGAAGCCACAGTACATTTTACTTAGATGTCACTTTTAATAACATACTAGCAAATGCTCCTTCTCGCACTATTTAACAACTTGGATGAAGCCCGGGCGCCGGTGGCTCAGCGCCTGTACCTAGCTCTTGGGAGGCAGGCGCGGCTTCTAGGTCAGGAGTTCAAACAGCCTGAGCAACGAGCGAGACCGTCCTCACTATAAATAGAAAGAAATTAATTGGCCAACCTGATATGTATATTAAAACATTCAGCCGGGCGTGGTGGCGCATGCGCTGTAGTCCCAGCTACTCGGCGAGGCTTGAGGCAGAAGGATCGCTCAAGCCAGGAGTCTGAGGTGCTGTGAGCGTAGGACGCCCGGATCGTCTAGCCTGGCAAAGCAGCAGTCTGTTCACAAAAAAAATATATATCAAATATAATGATAATAAATTTGGTGAATTGGTTGTTTCTAGATCTATATTTAGTGAGAGGAGGCACGAACTTCACAATTCTTTAAAAAAAAAAAAACAAAACCGCTGGCAGAACGTTGGTAGCCGTGTCGACCAACGTCTTATTGAGTTTTTTCCCACAATTGGTTTGATGTTCTGCTTGTTCTTAGAGCTATCATCGTCCGAACACGGTAGCCGCTCCCAGGTGACGCCTGAACTAGTTTCGCTGAACTGAGACGTGCTTTAAGAGTAAAAATTCACTCGAGACTTTTAAAATTCAGTATGAAATGGTAAATGTAACATTATCTCATCAATAATCTTTTGTATGATTCTATTTTATTAAATTTTAATTAAATTTGTAATGTAACCAAATATTGCGATACCATTACTTTTATATAACAATGTTGTAATTGAATATATGATATTTTATATCAATGTTTTATGTTGATGTTAACCGTTTAAATTAATTATATTAATTGTTAATTAATCCTATTTTATTTAATATTGAATGACAATTTCTTTATACTCGATGCACATTGAAGCGCTGATAGCTTGTATTAGGACCGAACTTGTATAATATTTAAAAAATTAATAATTAATCGGCATGGCGTTTTTTTAAAAAAACCTTTTTAGTGCGTGTAAAATTTAATCATATATATTATAAATTTTAAATTATAATTGTATAATTAAATCGTAGTACTATTTAACTATTAATTAAATACATTTAATTTAATTAGATTATTAAATTATATACATTTAATACATCTTATTATTATTAAATTTAAATACTAATTCTAGGATTATTCCGAATATACTTTACATCTTCAATATATCATTAAATTTAATATATTAATTTATTTAAATTATATTGTACGATTTAAATAATTATGAAATTGTAAATCATTTAAATTATATTCTAATTAATTATATTTTTTATATATATTTACAATGTCACATTAATTTCTAAAGCGATCAATCAACGTGACCAACGCTGACTCCTTGGGATTCAGGCTGCATTTTCAGGGTAATGGGTTCCTGAGGAGGGAGCTAATTAACCCTTTGCACCCAGATGTCAGATGTATAATGAGAAAAAAAGCAAGCGCGTGCAATTCACACCCATGGAACCGGCAACGCAACTCGGCCCTACAGTCCCAATGACTATGACGGTTTCACTTCATTAGAAGGAAAACTGCTAAAAAAACAAACAAACAAAAACAACCTAAAATCTATTCCGTGCACACACACACACACACACAGAGCCTAAAATCAGTTCACAAAATCACACCCCGAGAGACGAAGTCAGAGACCCTACCTCTCTCCGCAAGGGTGACGGGAGGCTCCGGGCCTCTCTCAGCCTTCAGTTAAACATTTACACCACCTGGGAAAGCAGAAGAGCAGAGAGAGGGCCGTTATGCGGCGCGACTACGACTATTACTCTCCCCCGGCCTGTGCAGCCGCCAATCCACACTTTGTCACCCTGC